TTATTTAATTAGAGATTTTGAGAACCTGAGAATTGAAGTATTAACGTCATCAGTAAGGACATCGAAGATGTTAGCAAGTTTTATTGTGAAGCCGACACTCAGAGACAAAATAGTAGTTGCTCAGAAAGCTGACCCCTTTTTGGAAAAGATCAGGGCTGATGTGGGAACTGAGAAGATGAAAGGATTTGAAATAGTCGAAGACAAAGCCTTGATGTTTAAGGGTCGATTATGCGTGCCAAAGGATGAAGTATTGAGGAATGAGATTATGACTGAAGCTTATTCTACTCATTATGTCGCACACCCAGGTGGAACTAAAATAAATAAATATTTGCGTGATAGATTTTGGTGGAGAAATATGAAGGGAAATATATCTTTGTTTGTGTCCAAATGTATGGATTGTCAACAAGAAAAGGCTAAACATTAGAGGCCGTCAGGGCCATTGAATCCTATGGACATACCCGAATGGAAGTGGGAAAAGATTGCAATGGATTTTCTTGTTAGTTTTCCTAGATTAGTGAGAGGTCATGATGCAATCTGGGTAATTGTGGATCGACTTACAAAATCTGCTCATTTCTTGCCAGTTCAGACAACCTATAGCTTAGAAAAATTCGCACAGATTTATATCAGAGAGATTATGCGACTTCATGGTGTTCCAGTTTCTATTGTATCGGACAGAGACCCAAGGTTTACTTCAAAGTTTTGGATAAGCCTTCAGAAAGCTATGGATACCAAGTTAACGTTTAGTACTGCATACTATCTGCAGACTGACGGACAATCTGAACGAACTATCGAAGTGCTTGAAGATATGTTAAGAGCTTGTGTCCTGGATTTGGGTGGTAAGTGGGAAGACCATTTACCGTTAGTTGAATTTGCATACAATAATAGCTTCCAAGCTACTATCGGCATGGCACCATATGAGGCTTTGGTCGTCTATGTTGTTCGCCATTATACTGGGATGAAGTTGGTGAAAGGAAAGTTTTAGGTCTAGAATTGGTCGAGAAGACTGTGGAGGCTATTTATAAAATTATATCAAGAATTAAGACCGCCCAAGATCGTCAAAAGAGCTATGCTGACAAAAGGAGAAAAGAATTGACTTTCGAGGTTGGAG